ACTATTTTCTTTCTTTTATTTATACATAAATAAAGAAAATTTAGGAAACAACCACCCAGCACTGCCACTGCCTACTAAAGGCATGACTTCTTCCCTGTGGTACACTAATTAAAATAATTTACCTATTAATAATGCAGCTCCTTTTAAGTGCTCTCAGAACAAAGATAAAGAACCCACTGTCTCAGCATGATAATATCAACAAAGACTAAAATCTTGCTAAATCACCCGAGATAAAATCTTGAAAGAGAATAATACTCCCATTACAGTTCACTGAATACTCCAGTGGACACAACAGCTTATCCATTCCCTATCGACGAGCCTGGCGGCAAAAGTCTGAGCCTTACAATGACTGGATGATATTAAGAGTGAGCTTAACACAAGAGGTTTAAATAAGAACCCAACAGTCTGAGCACGTCATCAAGAAAGAATCTCATCATGGCACGCATACTTTCAGACAAAAGATTCCAGTAACGTACATGTACGCCGTGAGTCAGTGCAGATGTACCCTGTACTCGCTGAGCACAAGCCAACTAACGCTCAAAGCATGCAGTACGCTGACCCTAAACATGGGGTTGTGAAACATTTAATCCAAGAAAAACATGCCACAACCCGAGGCTAAGCATCATTCATCTTCACTCACTCTGCTGCTAGTACTATCCAAAACATCATGTGTCATAGCAGCTTGAAAAATGTTAAATAAAGCGAGAATCTTCAGCAAATCTTTACCAGACTCACTTTTACTAGCCTTTACACCTTTTCATGCAACACAGAAGATATAGTTGATTTAGCTGCTCTGGAAATGAACAGATGACGCTTATGATGCTATATAGATTACACTAATTAACAGCTACTCAATAAATGATTAACAGGTACTGCAATATTTATTATTAGTTATTAATAATTAAATAAATATAATAATATATTTTTTACATTAATTCTTAGTAGTATTATTATATTGATAATAATAATTAGTATTATTATAAATCATTAAAAATGTATCATAACTGAAGCTGTATTGCTGTTAATTTGGATTTGATTGTTACACAAAAAGCATTTGAAAACAGGTTTCATTCACATATGTGGTGGTTGATCAATATGAGTTTTTCAACAGAGATCAGACATTCTCCATCCACTTTCAATATTAAAAGGAAGAAGTGTTTAATGATGATTAACCACAGTAAACAAAAACTGTAAAATGACCAACACACCGTTTAGCTGATGAGATTTGAGTGCACGTGATTTTTGCGTGAGATGCACATTGTGATGGTGCATTTCTGATATTGGTACTATTATATCAGTTACACTTTACTTGAAGGGGTGTGCATAAGACTGACATGAC